GACTGCTGTAAATTCCCAAACAACGAAACTAGATTTAGTCACCGATACAAAGGCAGCTCCCTCCTGTTCTGGAAAAACGTTATCTATCAAAGCGAAATGACTGCTGTAAATTCCCAAACAACGAAACTAGATTTAGTCCACGATACCAAGGCGGCTCCCTCCTGTTCTGGCAAAACGTTATCTATCAAAGCGAAATGACTGCTGTAAATTCCCAAACGACCTTACATTTGAACCAGTCAGTAGTATGGACACAAAGAAACTGACTTCCGAACCTGAGAACAATTTGTGCCGGCCGGTGAAGCACTCAAACGACATAAATGACAACTTCCAAGAGGTGAAAAAAAAAACACCCAAGTTCCTCACAACTGCTTCGAATTCCATCCGTGCTTACGCCTTTACTTCCAAATCAATAGAAAATATTAATCAGCTGATGAGTTATCGATAAGAACTTCAACGCAGCCGCTATTCTAATGAGCTAGAAAAACAAAGACAAGAGAAAAAAAACAGCGGAACTTCTCTGCACCAAAACTCTATTTTATTTAACAATAGCAGGACAACGAGTTCAAGACTAATTCTATACTCTCCTTAACAAAACCAGGCAAGAAAATAAATTAATAAATAAATTTAATCACTCCCAGAGTAATGGAAACTTGCGAATTAAGTAAAAAAAAATTAGTACAAAGCTAAAAAGCCAATAAATCAGCAAATATTATCATTTTTACAGTAAGTTTCAATAAAATCCCGATCACCCATTCGCTATTGCACTTGCTCGTATAGCGTAGTTAGTGCAAATATAAAAAGTTTTAACTGAAAAACCGCCCTAAATACGGTTTGAACTCTAATAGGTTGAACTTGAAGATCTAAATTCTTCTTACACTAAATTAAAAAACCTGACTTAAAACAGTGAAAAATACCAAGGTTTTGTTCAAATACACTATAAATCCGCTTTTCCATTCTAAAAAGTATCATAAAAACTAAATTTTTTATACACCGAGCAGATTAATAGTAAGAATTAATACAACCCTGAAACGCCAACCAACATCCAGGTTGACTAAAAAGTTAGAAAGTAAACCAATGAAGCTGCTTATTGGAACCATATCTTCTAGAAAAGTAACGCAAAAGCAATTAAAAACAAAAATTACAAAAGTGACAAAATCACATCCAAGAATAGTGAAAAATGGTACAGCTTGGAGCTAACTGAAAATCTCAAATTTTTAGGCAGTAGTACAGCCTGTATCTAATTGAAAAAATTTAAACTAGCAGATACATATCTCATCAGCATTTCAACCTAAAATATATCAGAGATCAAAGGCGATAGCAAAGGATTATGGTGGGGGAGCATTTGGATCAAAAAACTGGCTCTCCAAACGATACATTTGTCTGAGCACAGGAACACACACCGGGATGTCGCGGACGAGCGCAACAATCGTACGGAAAATTCTGACTGAGTCAGCAAGCAGTGTCGCCGGCGGCTTTAGTTCGCTTGCACATTTCTGTAACCAAAAAAGTACAATAAAATAAATGGAAATATAACAACAATGAGAAGCAAATACCAACCAAAAAGCTACACAAAATACGCTTTACTGGTAATGATATACTCTGCTAAAAAGCAAGAAATAAAGTTTATCGATTGGATATGCAAATTTCGAAAACAAACGCAAACCTTTATAATACTGTGAAAAGTGCTACCAAATTCTGATACTCCACCACGAAGATTCAACGGAATAGATGGTAGCAGCTTTTCCAAACTCCTACAACAAAGTCAGGTAGCCATGAAGTATAGAGCAATGAATTAAAAAACATAATATTGAGGAACAAAACCTAAGCCTTCCTCAAAAAATTGCGGTTCCAAGATCTACACACTTCTTATCTATGCAAAACGGATAATATCTTAATCTTAAAACAACAAAACACTATTTCGCTTTTTGAAAATGAAGAGCAAAATACTTGTCCGTTACTAATCATGTTGAAGTAAACTGGCAAATCTCAAACAGACGTAGCAAAATAAAAGTAGATAAAGAAAATTCAACTTCTACTTTCTCGACAGAAAAAAATATAAACTAACTTAAACAGAAATATGACTCCAATAAAAAATTTTTAGTTAATTATAAGAACTTACCTTCCAAGGCATGCAAAGAAAATCAATACCGTAGAAAAATAAACTTGCAGAAGAAAACAATAAAACAGTGAATGTGATGAGAACTTACTTTTAGAAGATGCCAACCTAACTGTATGAAGTTTAGAAAGTATACTTTAACAAAGCCAAAAGTTATTAGCCATTTGAGAAGTGACGCCTTAACAGCTTTAAAACGCCGTAGAAACAAAAAAAAAAATAAGAAACAGAAAAGAGATAAAAAAGGAGAAAAAAGTGACGAAATAAAAACCAAAGAACAAAAAAGATCATCAAACTAAAATTCAGAACCAAATACTAAATCAAATTCAGACAATTTAACAGTGCACTGAAATTTAAAAAAAGACTAATTGTGCCAAAGTCAGCAATGGGCCTGAAGCAAGCTGGCTTTTCATCAAAATTTTTAGCATTATTATACTTTACCTTAACAAAAAGAAAGGTTATTTCAGCACCCACTAATTTTAACTCCAAACTGCATCAGAATTAGAGGTAAAGTATTATATGAGACTGCACACTACAAATTACAACTTGTTTTCTGGAAGTAATAAAAACTTTAAAGTTGAAATTAAACAAAACTATAAATTGATTCATGAAAGATTCCGAAACCGACAAACAAAAATCTGGAAAGCAAAGATAAAATGATTGACTCACTGCTTTATAAAAGTCACTTTCAGCGCAGTGTCCATATCCATACCACGAATCTGATACGCAGTCATATAAATGGGATCCATGTTTAAAGGCACGAGAGCTGGTTCTGAAACATCCAAAGAATTTTTCGAATAAAAAAACATTTCTAAACTCTCTTTCTGCTTCTTCCTTGCAAAAGAACTTAAGCCTTAACAGTGTAAAACGATTACGTTGGCTGCCTATTTGATAACCTGGCCTTCCAGCTGGATGCATCATTGGATAATCATGAGATATGCTTCCCATATTCTTTACAGCGTTCTTTTCATTTTCGTAGTCATTCCATGCTTCTTTGCATTCCTAAAAAGGAGAA